ATGTTTGCTGGCTAATATTTCTAAGAAGCATCCTGTGTTTGCTTTAGACTTGGGAACCCTTTGGAAAAGCAGAAATTGAAAAAATCATAGGCGATTGTTTTTTTTGTTTGTTTGTTTTTTGTTTTTGCAGTTGGTAATTCATTACGAAATATTCGTTCCATAGTTTTGGATCTAATTTTGAGAGTTTTTTCATGAAACACAATCCTCTTCAGTGATAGCCTGGCAGTGGTACTTAGCATGTTGACGGCATCTGGTTTCTAACCTGGCCTTCCTTGAGTTTCTTTTCCCAATTTAAATTTAGAAGCTTTTGCTAACTGCTGCCTTGCAGCGCTCAGTAATTCCATGGTCTTTCCCTAGGCTGTTTGAACAATTCAGGCTTGGTCTCTGTCCTTGTTTGGAGTGGTGACTAATGGGGCTGCTTACAGGAAGTATAATGAGGCTGGCTATCAGAGAGTTTTATCATGGATGAATTTGTCAAATGACGTCAGTTTGACAGAAGCCCACGCCCTGGTTTGGGTGACTCCTACCAGATCCTTCAGGACTTCTTTGTTGTCTTAGTTTCTCTAGGAAACTTCCTGTGATCTTCCCTATCAAAGACCATGTTGTATGAATCCCCTGGCTGGAGCTTACAGAAAAAGGGTTTTTACTGAGGAGAGCTTGTACGAACTACACTCGCAACTGGGTGAACACAACTGGGTAAAGGGAGCCGTTGAACTACAGAACTGTTGCAAAAGCTTTCTCCACCATCACTACTATCAACTGTGGACTTCCTCCATCAGCTCTGGAAGGTGGACATATCTCAGGACCTTCCCTCCAGGCTGTGGAGCTAAGAGTCCCGGAATCAGCTGTGGAATGTGGACACATCACTGAATGGTTGCTCTGGGCTGTGGAGCTGAGATAGAGTTCCTGAATCAGCCATGTGGACTATTCCCTGAATGTAGGTGGGGCAGCTGTCGGTAGCAGAATGGGCGCACTCTCAGCAGCCAACACCCAAGAAACTGCAGGATAGTACCTCTGTGCTGAAAGGGGACCGAGATAAACATATCACAGTTATATACTGTCATTGGTCAAGTGAAAAGTTCTTGGGTCAGAAGTGCTTACTTTTGTGTATTTATGATAAGGCCAGAGGTCAATCGTGTGTAGCATTCCTCAGGTCTGTCCACCCACCTTGGTTTTGGAGACAGACTCTTACTGGCCTTGGGCTAGCCAATTATACTAGCTTTGCTGGCCAGAGAGCTCCAGGGATCTGTCTGCCTTTGTCTCGCCTGCTCTAAAGGATTATTAAAACCCTGCTCCTAAAGCTGGGGTTTTTACATGGGTTCTGAGATGGAGCTAGGTTCTTATGCTTTTTTTCTTTTCATTAAAATTTTTTATCCAGGCGGTGGTAGCATATGCCTTTAATTCCAGCACTCAGGAGGCAGAGGCCGGTGGATCTCTATGAGTTCGAGGCCAACGTGGTCTACAGAGTGAGTTCCAGGATAGCGAGGACTACATAGAGAAAGCCTGTTTTGAAAAACCAATATACACATTTGTGTATTTATTTATATGGTGTGAATGCATTTGTGTGTGTGTATGTGTGTGTGTGTATATGTGTGTGTGTATATGTGTGTGTATGTGTGTACCACAGCACTCATGTATATGTCAGAGGACAACTACATGGTGCTGGCTTTTTTCTTTACATGGGTTCTAGGGATCAAACTAAGGTTGTCAGACTTTGTGGCACTTGCCTCTTCTCAGTGGTCCATCATGTTGGCCTCATGTCCCCATGCTCTCATGATGGACACTTTACATGCTGAGCTAGATATATAGCCTCCAAGGTGCTTTACTTTGGAGTACCATAGCACAGTGTCTGTCAGTCCGAGCCAGCATTCAGTAAAGAATGGTTCATATAAGCATCACGCTCATGTTGAGTGAAGGTAGGAAAGCCATTCAATTGCTTCTGATCCTTTTAGCAGTCACGGGCTTTATTATTCAGTCTATCCCCTAAAGATACACTCAAAACAATTTGATTTTAGTTTCCTTCTGGGGAAGTGTGTGTTATCTCGGCATTGAAGTGAAATCCCTTGCGTACACATTTTAGGCAAACTGAGAACTTCTAAACTATGTTCAGGGGGTTTGCGACAGGCACAGTGAAGGACAGGTGAGGAGGGATATTGGACAGATGCCCTCTGGGCACTGTTCCCCTGTGGCTGCTCTGTTGTCCCAGGTGTGACTTTGAGGCTGGCATTTAGCACAAGCTTTCTTTTAGCTGCCACAGCTTCTAGCCATCCACAAGGTTAAAGTGTCTCTATGGACACAGGAGTCCGGTGACAAAAAAAAAAAAAAAAAAGAGTTGAAAGACAGTAACGATCAACAGGAAATAAAACATTTTTATTGAGTGTCCATGTAATATGTTAAGTCATTTTTTAACAACAATCAGAAAACTACCATGGGGTTCACTACACAAAGTGAAACAGAATTTAAACCACTTATCAAAAAATAATGAAGGAAAAGATACAGCTAAAGGAGTTGGCTCGCAGGCCACGAGCCTTATGGCAGAAGAAAACACCCCAACATTTCTACGAGACACAGAGAGAACCCACACATAGAAACACTCAAGCAGGCAGTAAATATACACAAAGGCAACTAGGCTCTTTCTAGGACATCAGCTTCTAAGACTTCACACTGCATTGTCAGAAAGGTACATGTGGCTTATCAAGAGGATGGATCTTGGTCAGAAAGCAGGTCCAGTCACCGGCTCATGAGAGATGATATAGTACCAACTAATTCTATGGTGACAATCCCACGTTGGCAGTGTTGCAAGAGGATGTGCTAGTAGTACTGGAATGCAGGAAGGAATGTCTGTCCGGCAGCTGGGAGCTGCTTCCTTGGAAATGTTGTTCCACTGTGTACAACTTAAGTCGGGAGATGGTGAAATGAAATGTCAGTGTCTGGTATTTAAGGTGTTTTTTTGTTTTTGTTTTTAAAGTCAACTCCTTCTCTTTGGTAGGACTTGGTCTCTTAAATAGGAAAGCCCCTCATTTGAGTGTCCCGTTTAAACTGCTGTTTAATCTCACCTATGGGTGTGTGTTTCCTATCATCTGTGGTTTTAATGCTGAAAATGTGCTGTTTGTCCACAGGAAAGGATTTTCTCCTTGTCCTGTGTGTCTGTCCTAGCTCTAAAGAGCTTGTGATGAAAGAGGTGAAGGGCAAAGGGCTTACCGCTTCTCTAATGAGGGAAGAATCACAACCAGGGTTTGGATTTTGTGTTGTGCATGCAGGAGGAACAGCCGGCCCTGTGTTGAACGTCTAGCAACAGCCCCTTTGGGGGATTCTCTTGAGTGCTGTCCAAGACATGGAGCTAAATCCTAAAGATCAAACACGAGGCCATGCTTAGCATTCCTCCGTTTTATCTTGGTAGATGTGAAAATGGTCTCTCCCTTCAGAACGTTGCTGTTCTCTGTGACCTGGAGGTACAAACAGGTCTCACTATCCAGTGGGAGAAGAGTCTAGAAGCAGTGTTAGGTAGCAGGTTCACCTTCCTGAAGTGGCTGTCTACCGCAGGCAGAGGGACAAATGTGGACTAGTGCACAGTGTTGACAGAATGCTGCGTGTTTCTCCCCACCCCCCAGTCTATGTATCTTTCTGTCCTATGCATAGCTGTTCAGTTCTGAATTGGTCCTTAGGAATGAGAACTGTTTGTGCTACACACACGTTGGGCAGTGCAGTAAGAGGGAATGGCAGTATTGTTACAATATCACTACAGAGTAAGTTGGGTGCTATCCACTGAGGAAACTACGTGTCTAAGCACACGGGGCAGTCACAGTGTTACACAGAGCAGTCCTTAAGACTCATATGGAATGACTAGTGGCTTCATAATAGTGCCATTTACTACGGAATAACATTGAGAACATTTAAAAACTCCTCCTAAGTCAAGCATCTAGTGTACATAAGAGGTTGCTTCAGTTTTGCTAGAACTTGTTCTTGGTTTTTGTTTCACCCTTGTTTAAAGGACAAATTAAAACTTAAGTAAAAAGAGCATATAAAAAGATCACTAGCTGTCTGTTTTGGCTTAATCGAAGTGCATTCAGAACTATGGCTAATTGTTATATTTCATCTTTCCGTGGGATTACAATACTGTCTGTTCACCACAAAGTAATTTTGTGGCGTAAGCACAGATTGCTGTGTTAAAAATATTCTGCATTCCTTCTAATCCAGTTTGGTATAATAAAATATTTTGTAACAAAGTCTCACGCGCATACCTTTTGGAATCGTTATTGGGCTGAAATCTCGATCAGAATTCCCAGGTTGCACGTTTTTATATAAATGTGACAACGGAGAGCTATTATTTTTCTGTTTAAATAGTCAGGCAATATTTCAGAAACGCTGACTTCTCTCAGCTTCTCCTTCCCCACCCTAACCCCAAACAAAGGCATGCACCACACATAACAGGCGTGCGTACACTTTCACACACGCAAGCTCACACGAAGACACACACACACACACACACACACACACACACAACACCGTGAGGCTAGATGCAGTCATAGGAACTCATTGGTTCCTGTTCATCGCTTCCTTGACTGTAAGAGTGAAGCCATGATTTTAGCTTTGCAGAGACATACAGACAGATGCTATTCTGGTTTGTGGCTTTGCTTCCTTGAGGTCAGCCCGGATGCTGCTCAGGTCATGCTATTTTGCCTGTGAAAGAATTCTACAAAATTGGGTTCGCCCATCAAAGATGTCGTGTGAGCGAATCGTGGTACTGAAAGGATTCAATAGAAAGCTCAGGTTTAAGTTGTCCTTTAAGATGTTGGTTTAACTGTACTAGTGCCTTTCAAGTTGATATTCTTGCTGGAATGCAGACGATACTATATTTACCATATAATATATTATCAGCTCTCCTATATCTCAGTCAATTTACATAGTTTAAAATAGAACATCTTATTAAAAACATCTAGATATACACAGATTAGGAAACGCTTACAACATACAAATACACAAACTAGAAATAAATCTTTAGCATACTGGTATATACAACGGTGGGATACAATACATAATTTCAGTCATGCTCTATCTACACATCATATTGCTTAAAAGAAGAGTAGATTTGGAGGGCAGTGGTATGATGAAGGGCATAGGGGGCTTTCTACACTTAAGTTTGTGCAAATTAAAACAGGATCTGAAGTACCACTGGATTGTATCAGGAATGCATGGCTGGAAACTGAAAGGACCCATATTACTGAGGTATTTACAGATACTGGCTAAAGAGCACTATGTGGGCAGACGCAGAAAGGCTTCTTTTTCCCTTTACTTCTTGACAGCCAGCATGGCATCAACCTCCTCCTCTACCTGCAGAGTGTGCCACTGGGCGATGGGTCGCCGAGGGTTGGCCAGCATGTCTGACCAGTGTCGCAGCTCTGCCCCGGTGCTGTTGTAGCCCACGAAGACTTTGCCGATGGCGTCGTTCTTGCCAATCTTGTCATAGTCCAAAACAGTTACCACCACTTGCACTTTCTGAAAAGAGGACACAAGAATGCACCAGTGTCAGCCAGCCCTCCGGGTAAAAGCCCTGGAACACACAAAACTTCCACGGAATCTGAGGAAGTAAGAATCCATTCCCGACCACCAAGACGAGGCTGAGAGCACTAGATTCTGGAGACCTTAGCCAGCTTTTCACTGTTCTCCATTATGGTGGCTATAACCGACACCATCACTGTCACTGCCATCTTATTACCTTTCTTGCCAGGGGGTGGGGGCGATGTCTCCTGGACCTCAGACTGACTTCAAGCTCACTGTTTAGCTGATGACACTGAACTCCCAATTCTCCTGTTTCTACCTCCCAAGTGTTGAGATTATACGTATGTGTCATTTACTTGGTGGTCATCTGGATATTTCACATTCATTTTTATTATACACTTCATATTATCTAATAATTCTATAGAAGAAATAATTTGAATATTTTTCTCAATAGATTCTATTGATGTTTCCTTTGTACAGATAAAGATGCTGGAAGCTGACGAACATTTTATGACCTGTCTGAGATCACATAAGGAATGAATGAGTTGGTTTCTATGCTGTTACCCACCATGCCAAGCTACCTATGGAAGGCTGTGATATGGCTTTAGGTACCTCATCCACGAGTTTTCTGGCATGAGGACCTAGGTCATTCTCTTTGTCCTTATTAAAACTTTCAGAGTAATCATGCATTGTGATCCCATTTCTAGAGGTGACAGCCAACATTTCACATATAATTAAAAGGATCTGACCTAATTATATACTTGTGACCGCAAAATGTGACAACATAGTAGAAATCTTGTAAAAGGGCAGTAACTAAATAAAATATGCTTTTTCTTGAGTATAATTCTCTTAATAGCATTAATTAGTATATTATTATGCCATTACATACTATTAACTAGTATATGATTGTAGTATAAAAGATACACTCTCTAAAGACTTCCACTTGCCAGGAAATGAATTAGGTTAGTCATTTGTGAAGGTTCTGATTTAGACACTGGATATAAAGATAAAAGACGAAAATAAAGTAGCTCTATTGATTTGTGGCCAGTATTAAAGGGAAGGAAAATACATCTGTGAAAGCCAGGCCCCAGTGATGTTACACTGAGTTATACTTCAGTGGACTTCGACTCTGAGGACTGAACCACTCTGTCAGTGTGTTGAGTGATTGTCACTGGGGTACTTCTTTGGAACAGCAAAAACAAATACTTCTTTTCTGAAAAGCATTTCTCTTCTTACAGTTATTCATTTTCTGCATGTGCATGTGTGCAGGTCTATGTGCCACATTGCATATGTGGAGGTCAGAAGGCAGCTTGCAAGAGTCGCTTCTCTTCCCCTACCACATGGGTCCTGGGCATCAATCCCAGAGGGCGATGATTGACGGCAAGAATCTGTATCCACTTAACCATCTCACAGTCTCTTCTGTGTGTGGAATTTAGAGTGCAGTGCAAATGTAGCACCAGTTTCTACCTGCAAGCTTGCTCTGATGGTGCTATTAAGACAATTGCCTTTCTAGGCTGGAGACATGGCTTGGTGGTAATTGGGTCATCCCCCGGTACCACAAATAAATAAAATAAATAAATTACCTATTTACTCGGTAGTGTTTGGGATCGACAGTAAGCTGGAATTTGTGACTTTGACTCTCAAATCTTGTCCCCAGCAAATGCACCATGATGTAATAGTTGTGCAGGGGCTGGCATGGGCACATGATGTGCAAATGTAATAGACATTTTCTTGTTTAGGACAAATGTGATTATGTTACTGAGGGGTAAGTTGATTAGGGCACCCACTGGATCTATTTTGCAGGGGTCTCCATAGTTTATTTCTGCATCTTTTGATGGTGGTGACAAAAGTATTTTCTGCATGCTTTCAGAAATTGGCAAAATTTGCTTCCTTCACAAAATGTTTCAGAAGGACTGAAAAAGACAGAAGACAGACCCACAATCTTATAATCTCAGCCTAAGAAAAAAGCTAAACTGTTTTAGCAGGTTGAACACTATCATTTTTTCCCCCTTTTTTTCTCCCTCTCACTCTGACCCTGCTCTCTCTGGCCCCACTTGCTCTGGCCCAAAGGTTTATTATTTATTATATGTAAGTATACTGTAGCTGTCTTCAGACATCCTATAAAAGGGCATCAGATCTCATTACAGATGGTTATGAGCCACCAAAGAGTTGCTGGGAATTGAACTCATGACCTCCGGAAGAGTAATCAGTGCTCTTAAGTACTGAGCCATCTCACCAGCCCAACACTATCATTTTTAAGGCAATGGTTTTCAACATGTGGGTCATGACCACCCTGGGGGGAGGCATTGGAGCCACCCTTTCACAGGGGTCATAAACATTTACATTACGACTCATAACAGTAGCAAAATTCCAGTCATGAAGTAGCAACACAAATAATTTTATAGCTGGGGGTCAGCACAGTGTGAGGAACTCTATTAAGGGTCACAGAGTTCGGAAGGTTGAGAACCACTGCTTCAGAGAAATACAAAGAAGGGGAAAACGGTAGTCTAGGATTAAAAGAAAAAAGAAAGGAAGGAAGGAAGAAACATAGATTTGTAGGAGCAGAGGCGGCAGGATGCAGCCAGTGGGTGCTTGCTATTCCCAAACCCAACCTGCTTCATGTCGGGCTCAGGTTCTCTCTCCTCTAAAATGCCATCCCAAATCGAAACCTTTAGTTTCAATATATTTGCACTTTCTGCAATTCATAGGTGAAATCTATTTTTATAGGTATAGGATTATAGCCCAAAGGAGTAAGTTTACAAGATTTTTTTTTTCTTCTTTATCTCAATAACTTGCTTTGAATTGTTTTGTGGAATTAAAAAAAAAAACAAAATGCCAGGAGGTGTTAGTTTCCATAGGAATAAGGTCTTAGAACTCAAAATGTCCAACGAGCAGATACTGTAAAATCAATTATGGTAGGAAACTGATGTTTCAAGGACTTGCCAGAAGGTCGAACGTGCTCACAGGTTTAGACTACTGAACAAGGGACTGGGAACAGGGAAAACTGTACCAGTGACTTACTTAGCTGTTGAAAATAAATAAGTACATATAATTTTCTGACATGTGAAGATATGTATGAGCTAATTATATAAACACCATGGGCCAATGTGAGAAGGCAGGATATTGGCTATTTTTGCTTTACAGAAGTGGATTTCTTATTGTAGCCTGGGCATGAATAGGCAAGTTTATTCTCTCTTAGGTTTTCAATTCCATAGACAAACTCACTGACCCAGCAAAGTGGTTCATTTGGCTTTCTATTTTGTACCTTATTTCTGCTCAGCAGAAGGCAGCTAGCTGTTCCAGCTGATGAATCAGCCCTTCTCGAGCTGTGTGTCTTATTGTGTCCTGCTTAGTGGAGCCCCGGCACCACACAAATGTGCATGGGCCAGTTCTAATGGAGGCAGGACACTGATGCCTCGCAGGGTCTATGCTTGTCAGTGACGCGATCTGAAGGCCTGAGACCGAGTGGAGGGATGCGCTCATGTCAGACATTACCTGGATTTGCTCGAACGGAACTTCAAAGCTGAAGGACTCATTGTAGTAGGGGTTCAGCGTGTTCTTCTTAATGGTTGTCTTTTTCTTCTTCAGCCTCTTGCCATTCTGCATCAGGTGAATCTTTACATAGGGATCTGGAAGACAGACATGGGAACTTTAGGAGTTCAGACGTGTGTTCCATTTTATCTGAAATAATCTATTACGGTTCGTTTACTGTGTGTGTGGTGGTATGTACACCACAGGGCGTGCATGCATGAAGATCAAAGGACAGCATGTGGGAATCTGTCCTCTCCGCCTTACTGTGTGGGTCCTAGGGATCAGACTCAGGTAATTAGGTTTGACAGTAGATACATTCATTGTCTGAACCTGCTTGTCATTCAGAGCCACATGTTTTAGATCATCCATTAGCTCAGAAAAGGCCTGAGCCCCAACAGGTAAGTGATTCCATAGCTTCTATGGAATACGTTATAAACCATCAAACATCTTTTATTGAGAGGCTTTTAAGTAGGCTTGATGGCAGGCTTATTGTCATGTTAGCTGAATTTCCTAGTTAACATTAAGAAGAGAAGAATTGTGGGATTGCTGGGAAATCAGGGCTTTGGGGGGAAATGTCCTGACATGCAACATTTGCAGATTTCTGTGGTGCACGTGTGCTCACCATGGTCCATGTTAAGTCACAAACAGTCTAACAACTGATTTGTAAAGTTTCTGGGAATTCAGCAGTTGGCTTTTGTGAGCTGGCAGAGGGCTTGGCCATAGCTTGCTAACGCATGGGGATAAAGGTTGACAGGGAGAGGACAAAGGGGCCCCAGGCTTCATCCATTTGGTTATTCACATCCACAGCCAACACTCGGAGTAGCCGGTATGTGTTGGGCCCTCTTATCACTGATAGGAGCAGCACCGAGTACAGCAGATCTCTGGTTTCATGACGGGATCGCAGATGTGTGGGGTAATAGATACAAAGATTTTAGAGAAAGGAGACCCCTGTGAAGTCGGAAGTTGATGAGCACAGTGCAAGGGAGGAGCTGAGCCAAGGTCTCTGGGAAAACGGGAGTGATGGCAGAGTGCAGGGAAAGCAGGAACAGGAGCAGGCCCCAGCTGCTCAGAAGACATCTCTGTTTGGGGGGGTTGAGATGGGAGGGCTGAGGAAGAGAAGTCCGTGATGGCTCACACTGGAGCTCTCTGGTGTGTGTGTGTGTGTGTGTGTGTGTGTGTGTGTGTGTGTGTGTGAACAGTGTGTCTCCCTCTGTGTTTGTCTGTGTGTCTCTGTGTGTGTGAGAGAGAAAGACAGAGAGAGAGAGAGAGAGAGACAGACAGACAGACAGACAGACAGACACAGAGAAGTCATACTAAGCCGTCATAAGTTGCAATAGCTTCCTTCAAGTGTGTGTAAGGAATAAGGAAGAGGATAATACCCATGGAGGTGAAGAGAAAGGGTTGGGATGATTCTTGAACATTTTCTCTCAAGCCTCGTTAGGGAAAGGTAACGTCATAAGCCCTGGAGGGGCTCCTCCCTCTTGGAGCTTTCATTACTAATGGATGAATGCCATACCTTGCCTCGCAAGACACCATGACTTTTGAAAGGAAAAAAAAAAAAAAACCTCTCTGCTGTTTTTTCTTAAGCAAAATCCATTTCATATATAATGCAGGTTCATTATAGAAAACTACCAGAAGGCAATGATAACAAGAAAAAAAAATTAGTATCATCTAAAATAACTACTGCTAAGCCTTTTAATTTTTTTTTTTCCTCTCACCTTTCAGAACTTGAGTTGGGAGGAAAATTACGGGTGATCTAAAGCCCACATGGTTTTAGAGAGCTGCAGATGAGAAGGTTGTTTTTATCTACCTCTCTCTGTACCTCAGTAGAATATAACTCCTCAAGAACAGAAGCTATATCTGCTATATTCGCTACTCTATTTGACTGAAACAGTCTGATGCATAATAAAATTTTGGGGAGGGGGTATACTTGTACATGGTATAAATTTATTTTGCCACTCAGCTGTTCCATTCTAACCTCCTCCCATCCCCGTCTTTTTTTTTTTTTTTTTTTTTTTTTTGCCATTGAATGAACAAGTAAGAGGTAGTTATGGCCTATGGACTCATGAGGTAGGTTCTTTCTCTTAGTCCTGTCTTCTTCTTATTGCACCAAAGCTACGTATTTGCATGTACGTTGATTGAATATTTTTTTTTTCCAGTGCTGCACTCTCAGTCAAGAGATCATTTTTTGGTCCTACAACCTGAAGTCTTAGGTGGCTCTAGTCTTTTCCACTTCCATTGGCTCCTAGGCTGCCCTGATTCCCAAATATTCCCAGGTTTTCCTCACTGCCCTCAAGTCTTGTCTGGCACTCTGCAGGTGGCTCCAATCCCTCCCTTATCCCATTAGTGACTTCTGTGAGATTAAGCCTTGTTTGTTTCTCTGACTCCTTGCTGAGGCCTCAAAATAGGAAAACAGCCACGGGTGAGTCATACCTATGCTTGGAGGACACATAGATTTTTTTTTTTTAAAGCAAAAATCGCCTCTCCAGCAAAGCAGGCCTCTGAATGCTTACCATTAGTTCTGTTTTAGGGGCTATCTACAAAGCAAAGCAAATCCTTGTCAGCTCCCAGTGCCTTGGTGACTTAACATTCCTGGTGTCTGTGTCATAAGAGACAATTGTAGAGAAATGATACAATGGTCTGTAATAGGACTTAATAATGCGGCTTCCCCTGGGCTCTGCAGCCAGACACTAGGCATGGTGTTGGAACATCCTTTGGGGTTTTGGAAACACGTAAATAGTGTGGGGAATTATGCAAGTACAGAGAATGGGCTACCCCCTCAGGCACTCTCTGTCCTTGTGGCTTGTGGGTCCTTCCAGTTGCCAGCAGCAAGCACTCATGGATACCTCCCTCTTCTGCATACTGACAACCTTTCTTCAACACCATCTGATGTCTCTGCTGCCACCCGAAGAAACACAAGATAGGCCATGCCTTTCATTTGTTTAATTTATATTTAAGAACACTAGTCTATGTCTTTTAAAACTTTGGTATAAAGAAAGATCTCCTTGTCTGATCTCTAATTTCTAATGATTTCTAATGTATGGCTGCCACTTAAAAAAAAAAAGGTAGACTGAGGACCAGCATGAAGATTCCATGACCTTAATTCTAATCCTAGAAAAGATAGGATGAGAGGAGTGACGACACAGAGTTGTCCTCTGATGTCCACATGTGCTTCATGGTGCAGCTGTGCCTCTACTCACAAATGCATAACACACATGCACGTACACACACACACACACACACACACATACACACACACACACACACACTAAAAAGAAGGACTCTGCTCCAAGGCCTGGTGGTCTGGGTCACTATCAGGTCTCTCCTTTGGTTTTGGCCTCTCTGTCATTGGGAATCATTGCATGACTGTCCTCTTTCTTGTTGGACATCATGTTGGCTGGATATTATCTCTCCTCTGTCATAATAGCTATTCTGACTTAGAGATTTTCCAGGACATTCTAGTGAGACCACTCACAAGCTTACATGTTGACAAGCCTTTTTAATGTATCAAGTTAAAGTTTGTGTCCCTACTTTTCACAGTTATGGTAGGCAGAATAATAACTCTTCCAAAGACCTAACATTCTAGTCTTGAGAACCTATGAATATGTTGTATGGCAAAAGGGTCAAGGCAAATGTTAGTAAAGTAGAGACTTTCAAATGAGGTCATCCCAGTGTTTCCAGAAAGGTCTACCTACTCTTTTCACATAAGTCCTTAAAATGCAGAGAACCTTTCTTGGCTGTGATCAGGGCATGACAACAGCAGAAGAGCTGGGCATATGTCAATGTAGGTTATTTTATTTATTATTGAGACAGGCTGACCTAGAACTCACTCTGTAGCTCAGGCTAGCCTCCAACTTCTACCATAGCCTCTTAAATGCTGGGATTACAAGAATAAACTACCATGCCTTGCTTTTAAGAAAGAAGGCACCAGAAGCTCAAGTATGTGGATGACTGCTAGAAAAACATTTTTAGGTGACAAAAAACAAGGAATGTCCTTTTCTTTAAACCAGTTGTTCTCAACTTTCCTAATCCATTAACACACTTTCTCATGTTATGGTGACATAACCCAACCATAAAACTGCTCATTGTTATGTTATAACTGTAATTTTACTATGTTATGAATCATAATGTAATATCTGATATACACCCCCCCCCCCCCGTGGGAGTTGTGACCACAGATTGAGAACCACTGCTCTAGAGCTCCTAGGAAGGAGGATGAGCCTTCTTTTTTAACATGTTCCATTGGGGCATAGAAATTGTATGTATTTATCACGTGCAATATGGCTTTCAAAATGTCCATGTGGAATGGCTAAATTGGGCTAGCAGGATCTATTCCCATACTTACTTTATATGGTGAAAACACTTACTATATACTCCTTAGAGACTTATTAGAATTCTTGCTTATTAATATATATTATCACATTATACAATAGATCTCTCCGACTTATTCCTCCTTTTCTTTAACTGAATGTGCAGTTTCTCTAACTCTGTATGACTATAAGAAAATACATGAATGTTATTTCAAGACATGGACTAGGTGATTATTTGTGCACAGTGTCAACAGAAGACTAATAAAGGAACCAACTTTGAAGACATTCTGTTGTTTATTAAGCAAAATGTAAGGGTGAGAGGCAAGGTGCTTTCAAGGTGTGTGTGTGTCTCTCTCTGTGTGTGTACATGTATGTATGTTGCTTGGGATTGAACCCAGGGCCTTAGGCATGCTAGATAACTACTCTGAGTGGCTTCTTCACTCTTTCACTAGATCTAGAAATTGATCTTGTGAAAAACGTTGATGTTCCTTCCTCTTTCCTAAAAAAGCAGTTATTGTGATCTTCAAATCAAAAACCTTTAAAAAGGTTAAGTTCTTTTAACAAAAATAATGTAAAACAACACTGAGCACAGCATCCAAAAATCACAGCAATATGCACACTTTTTAGGATCTATGTAAAACTAGTAAAATCAGATAAGACGTGATCTGAGAATGATTTTATAAGGGCTTAAAACAATAGTGGGCCTTTACACTGAAAGTGTAATTTATGTTTTCTAAAAAACTATTCCATCATCTATCTGTCTCTCTATCTCTCTCCCCCTCTCTCTC